TACAACATTTATCCTTAGAATAGAGAGTTATATAGAGGCAAATGTTAACACATACAGTTATATTTATTTACTATTTCCAATTTTAATGTTATGTTTATCTGGACGAATTTTAATATATATTAAAATAAACTAGTCAATAAAAATAATATTATATTATATTAAATTTGAAAAAGTTAATATATATATATTGTAATACCTTAAGTTCTCTAAACATGAGTAGGAAAGGCTAAGAGATAAATTTCTAATCAATAGACTTAATGGGAATTAAGAAGAAGTTAGTGTAATAATCAAGTTAAGCAAATGGGATTTAGTCACTAATTATAGAGTGGCATCTTAGTAAACGAGATTAAGCCTTGAAAATATAATAATAAATTTCTCTATATATGGATGAACTAATAAGAATTAGAAGCCTCATTCTTGTCTCTCACCAAGCTAAAAATCAGAATTTAGAAAGGATATTGAAGAAGAGAAAGAGGAGAAATGTGAAACTTGGGGAGGAGAGAAATTCATCATCTTCATCAAGCCCTTATGTGTGTGGGTGTAGCTTTAACAATTTTGAATGAAGAAGTATTATCAAGAGTAAGAATAACCATCCTTATCATCTCTATCATCCTCTCAAGAGAAGATAGGGTTTGAAGATCAAGAACTAGGGATGCGTGTTCAAAGAATTTGTAAAAGTGTGTAAATTCGGATTCCTTGACCAGCCTCCACTAAACAATTGATAACTTTCTCTCTGTATGTCGTATCGATGCAATTCTTGATTTTCTGGAATCTAAACGAATTTTCCTTCAGTTTAGACACTAATTTAGTTAGTTAGATATTTTTATAAGGACGGAATGTGCATTTAAAGATGGAGGTCTCATGCAGAATTATGGCGAAATCAGCATACGAGTTGTCGAGCTTTGGAGCGGCATAAGCGAACGCAAGCGGAATCGGAACGCCATACCAGGTAGATTCCATTAGATAGTTACTTGGAATATATTTTAGGGGTTTGTTTTATATAATTAAAGGCTTTGGGCTTAGGTTTTGATCCCATTTTCTTAACTAAGAACCCTTGTTGCATATGATACTTTTATGACCATTGTGTGGATGCATGTTCTAACTTGTATGATGATACCATGCATTGTAGCCTATTCATGATAAATATGAATATGAAATGTGAGTTGAGTGATTGAATTGTGATATTAATTTATGCAATGAATCAAATACTTGAAAGTTGCACATGGATTTGTGATTTTACCTCTTGATTTCATAAAAATGCATTAGTGATTGCCATCCCTTTTGGAGTGTGATTCAGTGTCTAAATGATAATGCTTGTATTGATGTTACATCATGATATGCTATTCTTATTGAAGTGTCATAGTTGCTTGAGTGAAAATGATAACTTGAGATATGTTTTAGTAAATACTTGAATGTATAGATGTATGTGTGTTTAGAATGAAATTGGGAGGAAAATACATGTATTGGTGTTAATATAGGATTACACTATGTTAGGGATGTCAGTTTGGACCTGTTAATGGGGATCCCCGCGGGGAACGCCCCGTTCGGGGCCCCAAAGATGGGGAATTTTCCCCCGTGGGGGCGGGGATGGGGAGAAAAATTCCCCCGAGAGCATTTCGGGGACGGGGACGGGGAATACACCCCCCGCCCCGCGGGGACCCCGCCCCGCCTATTATTTTAATATAGTTAATTTAATATATATATTTTAGATTAGGTTTTTTAGTCATTTCCTTTATGTTTATTTATAAAAATAAATAAATAAATATTTATGTATTTATTAAGAGAGAGAAATGTAAATATTAGAATTTTTTAATAACATAATAAATATGTGAATTCTTTGTGCTTTTTATTTTTATAGAAAATATAAACATTTTAAAAAAATAAAATATTAATGAATAAATGTAGGATCTATGGGGATCCCCGCGGGGAACGGGGATCCGCGGGGAACGGGGATGGGGATAGAAATTCCCCCGTGACGGAGATCGGGGACGGAGACGGGGAATGAATTTGATGGCGGGGAAAAAGATGGGGAAGTGTCCCCCCGGCCCCGCCCCGCCCCATTGACATCCCTACACTATGTTTATGAACTCTATTTAATTATTATAATGCATGTTGTTACTGTCATAAATTGTTAGGCTTTGTTTGGGGAACTTAGGAAATTTTCAGAATGCATTTGGGACTGGTTTTATGCGGGAAAATATGTCATTTTTTTTCTGCTTCAATAGTAAATCGATTTACCCAATATGCAAATTGATTTCCCTTGAAAAAAATTGAATTTTGGGAAATCAATTTACCCAGGATGTAAAACGATTTCCATCTAGCTGAAAGTGACCTTTG